TTTGAAATTCAATTCAACTGATTGCCGAACACGCCTCATCCATTTTTGAACTCTTTCTGCGCACTTGAAAGACCATTTCCTTTGAACCCAGACAGCAAGAATGTCGAAACACCATAGGCAGGATCACTATAAATGAACTTGTTCAGAATAAATCAGAATGCAAAGCAAAAAAATCCAACAATGCACTGTGTGGCGAAGCATCGTCATGTCGTGCTTTCTCCCTTCCACTGGACCGAAGAAGTGAATGCAGATGCCATCGGGTGCTGTAATCCCTTGGTAGTTCAAGCAATGAACGCGCTTGTGGCCACTGTAAACTTGCTGCTGGAGGTTGTCGCCATTGCCAGTGGATGAAATTCGACTGACAGCCAGCTTGGTACCGTCAAAAAAGCCATATACCACAGGGACAGGGGAGCCTTTTTGTTTGATGGCGCCGCAGTATCGGTCCATGTTGCGACGCAGAAGACGTAGATTGAAGAAAAGCAAGTCATGCCAGCGGTCGTAGATGTCTTGTATCACGAACAAAGATATCTCGCACAGAGTAGACTGAGATCGCCCAAATGTCTTTGTCATGGAATAGAGACGAGTTGGAAATGCTAGACGCGACAGCATGATGCACATGGCTTCGTCTCGACACACATGGTTCCTTGACTCAGTTATGATAACAGCGGGAAGTCCGAGGATGAGTCCGAGCGTTTGAATTCCATGAACGTCAAATCGAAACTCCAGGATGGCATTTACGTCAGCGTACGCTGTCAAGATGAAACGAACGTCAGGTATCAGCGTTCAATGAACGAGCAAGCAAGAAGTGCAGAAACAAGTCGTCGTTGTTTTCGAGTCTTGGCAGCAAGCAATGTGCAGGGCAAGAACATCATCAAGCGAAAGTACCATCGTCAATGCAAGTTCAATTGTGGAACACTTTATCCGGAGAGTGAAGTGAATGGTGCAAAATGCAAGTTTCATTCAGTCTTTTCAGAGTCACTAAAATCGTAATTTGTCACAGTGCCCTGAAGAGACAGTGAGTGGAAATTTTGCAAAATCTCTCTAATGATATTTTGCAACATGAGTTTGATATTGTCAGGTTTTCTTGGATGTTGTATAATACTTCCTCCGTTTCGAAATACTGTTGTGGGTTCACTTCAGTTTCCTTTTCTCAGACAAAA